TCGGGGAGAAGGGGGGTCCCTCAGCCCGGCCTATGCACTCTCGCAGTCTGGGACCCCTCGGGAGATAACGACCTGCTGCCTTAGGCCTGCTCCCGGGTGGCAGAGGGCAGGCCCAATCCCTAGGTGCAGCCCCTGGTCGGGCTCAGAGCAGGGCTGATTGGGGAGTTGGGGCGCCGCCCCCTGTCATGCACAGAGCAGGGCGATCAGGAGGTTGTGATGCCACCCTCAGTCACGCTCAGGGTAGGGCCGATTGGGAGGTTGGGGCACCGTCCCCTGTCACACTCAAGGCAGGGTCGATGGGGAGGTTGCGGCGCCACCCCCTGTCACGCACAGAGCAGGGCCAATCAAGGGGTTGGGGCACTGCCCCCTGTCACTCACAGAGCAGGGCCCATCAGTGGGGTTGGAGCTCCGTACCCTGTCACGCACAGAGCAGGGCCCATTAGGGGGTTGGGCACCGCCCTCTATCACCTACAGAGCAGGGCCGATCAGGGGGTTGGGGCGCCGCCACTGTCACACTCAGGGCAGGGCTGATGGGGAGGTTATGGCTCTACCCCGTCACATACAGAGCAGGGCCCGGGGGGGGGGGGGCTTGGCGCCACACCCTGTCACACACAGAGCAGGGGGCTGATCAGGGGTTTGGGGCGCTGCACCCTGTCACACACAGAGCTGCAGGGCGATCAGGGGGTTTGGGCGCTGCCCCCTGTCATGCTGATCCCGGTGCTGGGAGGCCTTGCGGCTCCGCTGATCCCAGTGCTGGGAGGCATATTACCCTTTTACTATATAGGGTAGAGGCCTGGTGCACGGGTAGGTGCCAGCTGGTTTGCCTTGAAGGGTGTCCTGGATCAGGGTGGGTGTCCCCACTGGGGTGCCTGGCCAGCCTGGGTGGGGGGATGATGCCTGTTTGCAGCTGGTCACACACCCTTCAGGGTGGGGGTCCCCACTGGGCGTGCCTGGCCAGTCTGGGTGAGGGGCTGAGGGTTTTCAGGCTGGGGGTGACTGAAACTCCCAACTGCTCCTTTTTTTCTTTTTTTTTCTTTTTTTATTCTTGGCCAGCTTTAGCTTTGAGGCTTGGCTCCAGCTCTTAGGCCTCTGCTGCTGAAAGTAGGTTTCTGGCTTTTGCTTACAATGTTGCGATCTGGCTGGCTGAAGCCTGGTGGACTAAAGCAGGTTTCTAGGGTTTTGTTTAGCTCCTATATTTGTTACAATATTTCTTAAACTGCAAGCTCAGAGGCCGGCAAGGCAGGCGGGGAACGTTGGAGTCCTCTGTCACTGAAGCAAGCAAGCCTCATGTTAGTTTCAAGCTGCCTGACTGCCGGCCGCCATCTTGGCTGGCAGTTAATTTGCATATTGCCCTGATTAGCCAATGGGAAGGGTAGGGGTCGTACGCCAATTACCATGTTTCTCTTTTATTAGATAGGATTCCAGAGCAGTTATAGATTGGGGCACTTAAATAATCTATTTGAGACATTTTATTAGGGTGAAGGAAGCTTAATTATTATTATTTCTTTAATCTTCTTCACTTATTTTAAGCATATATTTTAAGCATATATATTAATATTTTCCCATTGATTTTTAGAGAGAGTGGAAGGGAGAGTGGAAGAGAGAGAGAGGAACATCAATATGAGAGAGAGACATCAATTGATTGCCTCCTATATGCACCCCTACTGAGGCCTTGTCTGGAAATTGAACCCATGAACCTTTGGTGCGCACGCTGATGCTCTGTCCGCTGAGAAACACCAACCAGGGCAGACACCAGTTTTCTGTATGGGCACAGAAAGCATCTACCACGGTGCCCAACATGTCACTCCATGTTAATTTTTTTTTTTCTTACTGGGAACAATAAGAAATAGTGTTTCCTTTTATATAGAGAATATTTAACATTTTAACAGGGAAATTGATACCCTATCACCACCCCTCGTCATTGCTGAATGTCAGCTGAGCACTGGTTCCAGCTGTTGTAGAAGGTTATCGAGGTAGGTACCTTAATAGATTTTGTTCAACATGATAATCTTTGAGAAGATAATTTTTGAGGAAAGAGTGGAGATAAACACATGTGTTTAAGCTACTAAGTTTAACCAGAGTTCCCCCCAAATCCAGTTTGGTTGGCTTTTATTTTTATCAGCAAAATGCTATAAAGTATCTTCCTACCATCAGTATTGCTACCACCAAATGTTTAGCACCTTAGAGGTTACAAAGTTCATGTATATAAAATCAATCCTCACAACAACCCAGAAAGATGTCTTTTAATTAAAGAAGCTGAAGCATGGGTTGTTTTTAAATATGTCTTGCTTAAGAACACAATTGTGACCCTGGAACCGCCCAACCCCCCTCCCCCCCAAAAAAGAAAAAAAATCTTCTGTCTGAGTCAGTATTTTTTTTTTTTAATATCACAGTGATAATATAAAATCTGAATACTTCCCATGAAAAATTTGGAATCTTTAGATATCGCTAATCCTTGTTTCATTAAATTATCGAATGAATTGATACAAAGGATGAGGAACCCTGATATTAAGCTTCCCTGGTGACCTGGGACCCCATCCCCTTCAGAGCACTCACATACTGTCTTATCATCCTCATGCCGCACACCACACAAGTCAGGAGTGTGTGAGTGTGTTCGTTTTGAGGAGGTTAGGGATGGGGATGGTGGTGCATGAGTGAAAGCATTTGTTAGTCACTAAGAGGGTTTGAAAGGTGAATCAGATATCCTCATCCCACAGTCCTTGGGTCTGTATAAAGGCAGTGAGCTGAAGAACAGATTCAGTTAATAGGAAGAATGGGAGCCTGGAAAGACAGTTCATAAACATAGACCTTGGGGAAATGAGATACAAGGAGTCCAGTTTGGCTGGAGCATATCATGTGTAAAAATAAATAAGGAGAGAAGGTTGGGAAGGGAGAGAAGGGCTAGGCCAGGGTAAGGAGTTTGAACAGCATTCTTTGGGCAGTTGGGAGCCATTGATGGTTTTTGAATGGTTTAGTGATGTGATCATAGCTTGGGCACATATTTCTTATTAGAGTAAACTTTGATATCTCTGTTTCCCATGCCCTTCGTATAAACAGCCCTGTTGATTCTACTTACAGAATAAATTGTGGGCTTACCACTCTGCTCCACTGCCACTAGTCTCACCCAAGTCCCTGTCATCTCTCAGCTGGGTTGCCATGGCAGCTTCTTTGGTGGCTTGCTGCTTTCACTCTTGCCCTGCCAACCAGTCCAGTGCAAGTAAAAACTGCCATTGTCCTGGTTAAAGCCCTGCATCATCTTTTCATCACTCTTGGAGTAAAATCCAAACTCCTAGTGTAACCCTACGTGGCCTGACCCTGCCACTCTCTGAACACATGGTTTACCGTCTCTTCCCCTCCCTCACTTGGCTCTTGCCACTCTGGCCTCCTCTGTAAAAAGCTCCTTCCCACCTCAGAGTCTGTGCATTTGCTTGGTTGACCTGCCTAGAAGCTTTCCCCAGACCTTCACATGATTATTAGCTCCTTACCAAAAGATGCCTTCCCTGCCCCTTGATGTACAGTAGTCCCTGACCCAGTCACACCCTCTGTCATTTACTGGGACTCATTTTCTTCATAGCACACTTGCTCCTATCTAAATGGGTTTCTTTATTGACTTGAGTTTATTGTCCCCCAACCTGCTCAACTAGATGTGAGCAGGGATTTCGTTTTGTTCACTGCTGTATCGCCAATACTTAGAAAAGGTCTAGCACACAGTGCATATGTATTGAATGAATAAAGTTAGAGATTTGAATGAGTGGAGCAGGGAGGCCAGACCGGAGCCTGCTGCAGTATGTGCAGTACAGGGTGCACTGAGAGGTTTTTCAGAGGAAGCAAGGGGCAGAGGCAGTATTTGCCATGGCTTGGCGTGCTGAGTCATTGGAGAGGGAAGAGGTAGAGACATTTGAACTTGGACCAGTTATAAGGAACCCAGGATTCTTTTGGACACAACCAACCATCTTCATTATAACGCATCCTGTACTCCTGCCTTCAGAAGAACTTGAAGCCTCCAACTTCTGATGCTCTTGGGTTTTATGACAAAACTGGGTGATTTACTATAGATGTCCCCTCACTCCAACCAACCTCTCCTCCACCCACCCACCCACCCAACTCCTTAGAAGCTTAGGTTTCAGCTTTCATAGGTATCCTTTGCCCGTTTTCTTTCCATTTTCTAAAAGGTCAGTTTTTTTTCTTGTCTGTCTTTTTCTCTGTCCTTATTGGGCCTTACCTTTTTTCTTCCTTTCCCCTCAGCTTACTGGGATTTGAGGAAAGAGTGGAGATAAATGCATGCGTTTAAGCTACTAAGTTTAACCAGAGTTCCCCCCAAATGCAGTTTGGTTGGCTTTTATTTTTACCAGTTTCTTTGATAGCACTTGGTTCACACGTTTAAAGAAGATGTCCTTGGAGAGGAGGCAAGAGGGGTCCTAAAATGCCGTGCTCTTGAAATGCTCATGGCGGCTCAGTGTGAGATCCCAGAGGCCAGTCATTTCCAACCACTGGACTCTCATAGAAATGTAGTTTCACCCTTATTTGTGTAATCTTTCGGGAGTGTTTTAACATGTTTGTAATAAAATTTGTGGCTTATTGTTTAAAATTGAATTTAAGGTACTAAATCAAAGCTTTTGGTGGCATGCCCCTGACAGCAGGGAGAGCCTGGGAAGTGATCCCTAAGAGCTGATCAAAGGGAGTTGCTGAGCATTTTTTTCCCCCTGTATTTGTGTTTGGTCCTTTAACCTGGTAGTGTTTCCAGTTCCATTCTGAATACAGTAATGCACACTCCACCCCCACTCAAGTCTTCTTGGCAGCATCTGGCACCGTCTTTGCCAAATGACCCCTGTTCAGGCATCGGCCTGCCTTTGCTATCAAGCCTATACAAGGCAGGAACAATGGTGATTGTCAGGAAACGGGCATCGTTCAAGATCTTATTCATAGCACATTTTTGTTGTAGTAATCAAATGAAAATAGTAAAATTGACTGAGAAGTGATCACTAGTCATTTCTGCCTAGGTTCACCTTTCCTGGCCAGTGAAGATGGTGTGCTTGGAGGAGTGATTGTTCTTCGATCTTGCAGATGTTCTGCAGAGCCTGACTCCTCCCAAAATAAGCAGACACTTCTAGGTAAGCTGGACATAAACAGTATGTGTGTGTCTTTCTTTCATATTTTCAAGACATGGAAAGATTTATATCCTTAAGTCAATAAGCTGTGGGAGAGCCAGGATGCTCTGTTGACATGTAACGTTCTCTAGTCTCCTGATCTTTTTGCATAGATAAACATCCAAAAGATGAATGTTTACTTCTGAGCCTGTGTGTAGAGAATAGTTTTCAAATGGGCTTAGAACCAAGGATCTTCACAAAAGCTCAATATTAAGAATATGGGACCATGTATTTATCCCCTGCCTTATTCTACAAAACATTTGAGATGACCCATAACAATATACACAGTAACATAGAGTTCCTTCCTGTCCTCCCTCCCAAAAAGGAATCAGAACCATGTGAAGAACTACTGGCCTAGGAATCCATCCTGACTCCATCCCTTATTAGCTGCGACACCTTCATGCATCAGCCTTACTGCTCTTTGTCACTTCACATCTGTAAAATAAGGACATCTGCCATGTCCTCTCATAAAGCTGTGGTGAGGACAGACCAAATGAGTGTTTTTCAGATTTGCAGATGTTCATCCAGATGTGTGCTTTTGTGTCTAGCCAAATGCATCAGTGGGAATAAAACCCAGCCTGTCCTCCACTTGCCCTGGCCCAAACTTGTAGGCTACCTCTCCCATGGGGTGTCTTTTTCTAATTCATTCACCCAGAGGGGGTATTTTAAAAAATCTGCATAAAGGTACCACATAAACTAGCAGGGAGCCCTGTATGTTATTTTTTTTTAAATTGACTTTTAAATTTAAGTATACATACATGCAGAAAAGTGCACAAATCATAGCTGCAACTACTTGACAAATTATTACAAAGTGAACCTACCTATGTAAGCAGTACCCATATAAAAAAATAGAACTTAACTACAACTCCAGAACACCCCTTGTAATCCCTGCCAGTCTCTATCCCCTCCAGAGTTAACCACTATACTGACTTCTAACACCATGATTAGTTTTGCTTGGTTTTATATTTTATATAAATGGAATCATAGGATGTGTACTATTTGTGTCTGATGTGTTCAGTCAACCTTAAGCTTATTAGATTCATCCATCTTATTAGACATGTCATTAGTTTGTTCATTTCCATTGTTGTATAGTATTTCTTTGTATGGATATTCCAGTCTGTATTTATCCATTCTTCTCTAAGTATTTTTTATATGAGCAGTATAGGTAATGCACAGGTAGTTCAGATCTTTGTATCAAATTCCTTATAGAAAGTGTGGGTGGTGCCTGAACTATGTTGTATGATTGTTATGGATTGTTATAGTACAAGTCTCTTTATACCCTGAGCTTCTGTGAGTATAAAATAGAAGACTCAGCATTTCTTACGAGAGTAAACAGTATTTTCTCTATAGAAGCCCAAAGAGCTTTCATAGAATCTCTCCCCTCATTCCTCAAAGGAAAAAAAATGTACTTTTATATAAAGGGCCTCTTTCTCCACCTGGATTCTGACCACCAACCTCATCATAGTTTTGGTAATCTCTCTTTCTACCCATTATACTTGGTACTGATTTGGCTTTGGGAAATTTTTTTTTAAATGGCCACCTTTTAAAAAAACAAACAAGTCTATAATAATAAAAGCTTAATATGCTAATTAGACCAGATGAAGCCAGGGCTGCGAGGAAAATGCAGGTCTCGGATGCCTGCTGGTGGCTGGGTGCTGGAGGGAAGCCTGGGTCCTGGGTGCCAGAGGGAAGCCAGTGCTGGCGGCTAGGGGAAGAAAGACCTGCTCTTGCATGAATTTCGTGCATCGGGCCTCTAGTAAATAAATAAATGGCCACCTTTTGTTAAACTAAGGCACATTAGCTATTTGCTTCTTAATCATTGCTGAATCTTTTGAATATCTTTTCCAGTAGATAATAGGGAGTTTGGTTTTAGAATATGCAGAGGTTGTAGGTGGGCCTTCCAAAAGAACTCAGAATAACACTTGGTACGCGGAGTTGGGAGGGCAGTTATTAAAATTGCTTCATGGACTGATCCAGACAGAGGGTCACTTCTTTACTGAGCCTGGACTCTTGCCCATTAGAGTTAATCCTGAAGATTGTAAGGTATTTTTGGTGGTATATAGAAATGCATATTTAAGGATAACTCATAGAATTTTTGCTTATGTTAAATAGCTTTTATTAGCAAAGTTAGTAATTTTCTCTGTCTTAAGAAGAATGAAATGTAATGCCAATTTATGAAATAAGTGAAATTTGTTAAAGTGAACTAGAGGGATTGATGTTTGTGAGGTTAATCTACTACAACCCAGTGAATACTAACTAGTATCAACTCATAGATGCTCCAAACTACATGGTTGTTTACATTTTTGGCTTTGAAAAAGTTATGTATATTCAGTATGTAGTAAGAAAGCAAACATGGTACAGAAGGATAGGAAGGGAGACGGAAAAGTCATCTCTGCTGCCCCATTCTCAGAGCCACCAGTCTCTGGATCTGGTTATTCTCATGGGAAACACCTTCACTCTATGGGATGTATTCATGCTTCTATTCCTGGATTAGTCAGTAACTTATGCCTCTTGGGGGGAGGGGGATTAACACAACTCACACCAGTTCCACTCCCCTTTCCTCCTGACTTTTGTTAGAATTCTACTCTAGCTTGAAATTATGTTTTTTAATTTTATTGCTACTTTAACACACTATTTCTTGATTCATCAAATTTATATAATCAACTATCCCTCACCCTTAAACAATGTAAGAATAGGAAAGTTCATGTGCTCCTTTCTTTTTTCCTCCTTCTCTCACTCCCAACCCTACCTAACCTCTAGCAACCATACCATTATTTTCATGGTTATTAACATTTACATTCTGTTCTGTAGCTATACTTGTCTCTACTTATCTTTGATTAGAGGTTGATTCCCCAATTAGTAATCAGCATTGACAGTATCAAGATTGTGTAAATAGTATTCACTGCAGATCCCGGTAGTGGAGGATTATACCTATAAGGGAAGTGTCTGTCATAAACCTCTGCCTGCAAAAGGAGAATATTTCAAATGTGAAGCTCAGGTGGATTCTCCTGTGTGGCACCCTATCCATTGCCCCAAATCAGGCCACAACTTCATTTGCTTCATGTTTGGACCATGACTTCTCATTTATCTATACATATAAAGAGGTAATATGCTAATTGCCATTACAGTGTCCCCATAACGACCAATTTGCATATTGATGTGTGCGCAGCAGGGGCGGGTGGCTGGAGCCAAGTTCCCCGGGGTCTGAGGATATCTCCTGACAGGAGCCTGGACAGTAAAGAAGGAAGAGGAAGCGGCCACGGGGAGCTCTTCCAATCCCCCTGCACGGACACCCTACTGCAGCCCCCGCATCCCTGGGGGGATGGATGGACACCCTACCCCAGTCCCCGCACCCCCAGGGGCGATGGGGAAGCTGACCAGATGGGGAGAAGACCCAACCTCCGGGTAGCTGCAGCCCGCACCTCTGACTCCCAATCTCTTCCCCCGCCAGCCCCACCAGGGCACCCACAACAATAGCACACTGGCAACCACCTGTCAGCGCCCCTGAGGCACCAGGGCCCATGGCCCACTGCTCCTGGGCCCCCTCTGCTGAGGCCAGGCACACCTCTCCTCCTTACAGCTCCAGACCTGGATGGAGGCAGGCCTGAGCGGCCCCCCAGGGTCAGACTCTTGACTCCCCCCCCTCTCCCCCGCAGCAGTGCTGTCTCCCTGGAAGTGTGCTGAACCTGGCAGGGGGCACAGCTAAACCCCGCCCTCCTAGCCCATCTGGCTCCACCCTGGCCCTGCCCCCACCTGGCTCCAGGAGATTGGAGCCCCACCCTGAGCAGGTACCGCTGCGAAACAGCAACCTACAATTTAAAGAATGGCGCCAAGCGGGAAGGTTTGACAATTACTCCCCATTCAGCTTTGCTGCCTCCCTAGTGCCCCCCTAACTTCCTGCCCCACCGCCAGTGCCTCCAGGGACAACCACTGCTACAGGGCTGCTGGCCAGAGTCCGCCCCTCCGAGGCCTGCGGAACCCTCTGCAAAGCTTCCATAGCTACAGTCCCAGGAAACAATCATGCCCTCCTCCCCTAATCAGCACCTGCCACCTGTGAGGGTACCCATGGGCTTAAAAATAACAATCCCTTCCCGTTTAGACATCACTTACTTGATGAAACATTTCTAGGTTTATTAGCTCAGAACCTTCTCATGACAACCCAGGGAGGAAGGCGGAGAAGAGATTACAATTCCCATGGTATATGCGTATGTATTCAGAAATGAAGCTCAGAGAGGAAAAGTTTCAAGCTCACTGGTTCCCAAGGTGCAGCACACGCTCCACGGGGGGGGGGGGGGGGGGGGCAATTTGATTTTAAGTGGGGACAGTTTGAGAATGAGTTAAGAGTGATTTTTTGCATTTCTTCTTTTTCTATGGGGCCTCATCTACAGTGTATCCTACATAATAAAAGGCTAATATGCAAGTGGCCGAATGGTGGAATGACCGGTCATTATGATGCATGCTGACCACCAGTGGGCAGACACTCATTGCAGGAGCTGCCCCCTGGTGGTCAGTGCACTTCCACAGGGGGAGCACTGCTCAGCCAGAAGCCAGGCTCACAGCTGGTGAGCACAGTGGCAGTGGTGGGAGCCTCTCCTGCCTCCGTGGCAGTGCTGAGGATGTCCGACTGATGTCTTAGGCCCACTCAGCCATCAGTCTGACATTCCCCCAGGGCTCCTGGACTGCTGGAGGGTGCAGGGCAGGCTGAGGGGACCCCCCCCCCCAAGTGCACGAATTTTGTGTACCGGGGCCTCTAGGTGCTTTATAAAACTCATGGCTCCTTAATACTTAGTAGTATCTACTAACCAAGACTTCTCAGGCACCTTTCTTTCTTACACATCCAAATAAAACAAAATAAGGTCCAAAAGCCCTAGCCAGTTTTGCGCAGTAGTTAGAGCCTTTGCCCATAAATTGTTTGCAAGAGATAGAGCTTAATTCCTCTCCCCTGAGTGTCCCTACCAATGAAT